CTTTATATAATTTTTACATTAAAAAAAAAAACTAAATCTTATCACTATCTAAAAAATATTTTCTTATGTTAACCTAACCTTTAGGTACCTACTATGAAAGAACATTACGGTGATGTTTCCTCATTGAACACAAATATTCAAAACGAAACCCGTTTGTAAAACGGTCGGAATAAACGTAAGGTATTACAACATTCTTTCATCGGGTGACGGTTATGGGGACAGGGATCATGAAAGATATATTATATTAATAAATTTACAAACAACGATTCGTGAATTTCGTACAAGCGACGTACATCTCCCGATCCAACCGGAAGTACGCGGGCGAGTTAAAGATGAAGCAAATATTTACGAAAAAAAAAAATTGGAAGAAAATATGAGCACTGAGCTTAACATATTTTTATCCTATCGACGAAGAAAAAATAAACAGCTACTCAAAGGTCCACAGGGTGACGAAGATACGAGGAATTCGAAGGTGGCAATCGGAGAGACGGGAAAACTGATAGCGCTCAACAGAGACGGAAATTCCTGGTGAAATATCAGCACGCGTAGTTCTAGGCTTAACCGTGTCAGATATTGAAACCATTCGGAATCCTTCAGTTGATTTACATCCCCTTCGACGAACGCACACAATAAACATAATATAATGAGATAAACTACCTATAATGTTGAATCAATTACATCCCTCTACGCAACTATACCACACACTGGATACTGGATTAAAACTGGAACAAAGTCTGTTTTCACCCCAATGACGAATACCTACGTAACATAAAAACGTACATATCCAAAGTTTTTAATCTTTCGATGAAAAATTAATCGCACCCTCGCAAATTAACACTCCCCACTAAACATTTTATGTTACTAACATCTATGAGATGTATTTTTTGGGATTCATACGGAACATCACATTGCGATGTCAACAAAACATATTGAAGATGTTTATTTTTAATTGTCACTAAATTATAAATATATGACATACCTACAACGTATAAAAATAAACTTATAGGGAACATCGCATTGAAATATCAATAAGATATTTTGGGGCTATCACTGCTTTGTTTACACCGATAAAAATACTCGCACTTTATTAATAGAAATTGTGCTATAGCTTATATAGGTAATATTATAAAACTATTAGGTTTTCCCTTGGCGTAATCGTCGGGTTGTTATACAGCTACAAATATTATATTGGTGGGGGTTGCGACTTGCGGGCGGTCGGGAGACTAATATTTACCATTGTATCTGTGTGTCTGTGTGTGTAATTATTACACAATTAATGTGATTCAGTACTTTAGTATTATTTTGAGACGCATCCGATTGATCGACTACGACGCGTTTTGTACTGACGGTAGTACCGTATACTGTGCACTTTTATAACCTAACTCAACAGTTAACTATATATATTGGCATATTGTTTTAATAAATAATAAGTGATTTTAGTGATTTGAAACAAAATATTTCGTACCTAACCGGGCTAACAATGTCTTCTAACCAGCAATGCCGCAAGGTAAGTTTATAAACAATATTATAATATAATAGGTCCCTGTTGAGCAGCCGCTCTTCCAAAATTTGGGTGGGTAGGTATTAATATTTGACATAATATACATTATACATAGACAATACTAGAAGTAATGAATTACTAAAATAATGGATGTATAAATATGTGTATATAAAATAATAATAAGCTACTATAGGTAGATAATCTAATTAGGTATTAACAAATATGTTGTGAATACGTTTAAAATCAGTAGGTAAATAGTCAATATGTTTAAACCATAAAATATTATATTATTTAATAATTTTGTGAACTGTATTACATGAATATATTATAATATGTATTGTGCATTAAGCCTTGATATGTACAGCGAGCGTAGATTTGGGTGGGTGGGTGGATAGATAAAAATATTCCCTCCCTGTGTTAAAATAGCTCACCTCACCACTGCTGTTGAGAAATATTAATTGTTGTTTGTTAAAATCTTGAGTTCGGAATATCTTCACTAAAAATATGTAGGTACTAAGTACTGATCCTAGGTACCTACCTAGTGTTGTAAATTTCAATCTGGTATTCTTTTTGAATGCGGTCTATCACAGATTTGTTGACTCTATAGGTAATATAATATAATGCTGTAGTCTGTAGTTTATCGTATGAAATTTAATAAATAATTAAAATATGAATAAATAAAAAAAATGTTATATTTAATAATACTTTAAGAACATATCGATGGCGTAGCGCACAAGTGTGATAAGTGACATTTTTTTGAAAAATGAGTTAAGTGCATAATCAATTTAATCATACAATTCTGCACATTATGCCCAAACGTTGTAAGTGAATAGTTCATTATTTACTCCGATAGATGTTGTACCGTTCGTTACATTTTTGAATTTGTTATGACATCTCAAACTTAAAAATCGTTCTCCTGAACAATTACGAAAATGTCACTTATCACACTTGTGCGCTACGCCATCGATATTATATATTATATACTTATTTTAGGTATCATTAAAATACACAAATGTATAAATCACATCATTATTTACATTATATAAAATACCGCATGGGTACAAGAATACCAAGTATATGAGAAAATTACTTCAGCAAGTTTTAAAATACTTTTCTTAGTAAAATACTTCAATATCTATTTAAACATTAAAATAATTTAACAGGATTTTGAAATTTCAAATAGGTACCCCCGTAGGTACCTAATTTTTGAAGTATGTGTATAGGTAACTACTAACTACTTTTTGAGTGTTTTTTACAACATTGTAAGGAGGTACCTTCTTCATATTATAATTATAGTAATGTGATACAATATAAAAATTTAAATTCATTCTTTTTTGTTTACCTACCTAGGGTCGATCATTAAAACGTTGGGTAGTTGCTATTTTTACCGATACCAAAGACTTTAGTGTTGTGCCAATTAATTGGCTCAACTTAGACTTTAATCTGGAAGATTTAACACAATCTAATATTTCATCAGTTCAGTACTGTCGATGGCCACCAATTAAAGTAACCAGTTTGGAGTTAATGAATGCGGATGATGCAGAAGAAACATGGCAATCATTTAAAATAAAAATTATGGATGGTAAAATATATGGTAATACATTTGTGTCAACTTCTTTATCACTCGATTCTAGTTTTTTTTTCTTCTATTACAGTAAATTTCAAACAGGCTTGGCACAAACAAGTTGAAATCGAATTCTCTGCTACTGAAAGTGAACAAGAACCTCCGAGTAACAAAAAGAAATATCAGCCAAGTTCATGTTCCAAATCATTATTAGTTAATTTATCTGATGAAAGCAATGATTATGATGGTAATTTATTAATTTAAATTTATTTTATCTATAAAGTGTTATTGTTTTAAATCAAATAATTGTGTTTAGATGATGACTTTTATAATGTAATGGCTTCATCTCAAACGACTCAAACTCATTCTTTAGCTGCACCTGTTCCAGCTGCACAGAGTTCTTCTAGTCTTTCAACAGCACATGGAGTAGAGTTGAATCCAGATTTAACCTCGGATTTAACTGAGTTGATGCCAATTTTGAATAAAAATATGTGTTCTACATCAGACATTTCATTTAAGGTATTTATCTCTTATATTCTAAGATGATACACATAATTTCATTAGAATCTACCAGTTTAATGTTTATATTTTCATGTATTAATTTGAACGAAGAAAAAACCTTAAAATATTATATTTATAACCTGTACTTAATTATTAAATTTTCCTTAATTTATATAAACGTTTTAGCCAATAAATGAAATAGATACATACAATCAGACTTATCTTCAACAAGATAATGGTAATGTAGGTAGGTACCTAACAGTATAATATTAAAGAATAAAAAAAACAATTTTTTATAAATAACATTTAAATAAATCCCTTTTAATATTATAATAAATATAATCAAATTAATTAAAATTTGTATCAATAATTTTAATAAAGATAAATTATTGTTAAATATTTCATAGTTTAACTATAATTTAACTTTTTTAATATAACCTAATTAACTCAAGCTTATTTTTTATCTTTAACCTTTATTTCATACAATGTAGTCATATATAAATTAAATTTTAAGCATTGTCTAATATTTTCTTCTGTATGAATAAAACAGACCCAACCGTGAAAATGATGCTAAATAGAATTTTAATAAAAATCTCTAACATTGAAAATATTTTATCAAAGAACCACAAAGATGAATCTATTCTACTTGACGAATCGTTTAGATCCAAATTTCCACTTATTCATGCTGAAGGATTTTTATTAGTTGAAACTTGTATATTAAACGAAAATGGCTTTGCTTCAAAACTGGTAAATATATACCACATTTGTTTTCATATGTTTTCACATATAAATATAACGTATGTTAGTTCCATATTATTGTTCCTACAGAAATGTTTTATTCGATCTATTGGTGGAAGGGATGGTAAAGAACATATTACAAGATCATTGACTAAACTATTCAAAAATGAATATGCCGGCAAATGTACCATGACTGGTCGTGGGAAAAATATTATTACTAAAATAGGAGATGCTGAACTGATAAAAATATTAACAAGTAATTTCATAAATTATGTGGTGGCATACTAGTTCGTTTATCAATAATTGTTATTTTGTGATGCAGATGTTATAAAAGAAAATTCCAAAAATGCTATTACGAATTCTGACATAGAAAGGGAAATTGCTGAATGGTTTAGGCGAGCTAACACACGAGTTCAAAGGGACAAACAAAATTAACCATTTATATTTAATTTTTTTAATTTTTTTAATACTGTTCAATAAATTATGCTAGATCTTTGTTTATTTTACTTTAAAGGACTTTATTTTTTCTTTGTTTAGATTGTACATTAAGTATATTAATCTAATTTTTACTTAAGATTAGTAAATTATATTCATATATAATATATTATTGATGTTTATTGTTTATTTTTATAAAAATAGAATATCAGTAGAAAAAAAAAATGCATCGGAGAAGTGACCACTAGGTACTTCAGAAAAATGTTGAACGTTGAGAAACAGAAGTCTAAATATCTTAATAACAGAAATCTTCAATCAAATAACTCCAATCTGCATACACCTAATATTACAGAGACTGGTATGAATGCAATTGCAGAATTAAATCAAAGCTTTAAATTGTCTATTCCTGAAAAAAATAGTAATTCCTTATCTGAAACATTAATTGATGATGAAGTATGTACTAATATGTTTAATGATGATATAGGTGATATTAATTGTAATGTTTATGGTGGCGTTGATTCTGATGATAATTGTTCTAAAACAGTTGAATCATTTAATATTGAAGATGAACTTAGGTCTTGGGTACTGAAGTTTAAAGTATCACATAACAGTGCAAATTGCATACTCGGAATAATTAAATCTGCAGGTATTAATGTACCCAAAGATATTCGAACACTTATGAAAACTCCTACTACACATGTAATTTCTAATATTGGTCAAGGATCGTACATTCATTTGGGTTTGGAAAATATGATATTACCTATATTAAAAAAGTTCAATGCTTTAATATACACCCCAAATAAAATTTTAAAGATAGGAATTAATTTGGATGGTCTTCCATTATCCAGAAGTTCTAAAAGCCAACTTTGGCCGATTTTAATTGAATTTACTAATTGCAATTTGTTATCAGAATATGTACTTCCAATTGGAATATTTCATGGAAATACAAAACCAAAATCCATTCATGAATTTTTAAATCCTTTTTTATCTGATCTTTTAATATTATTAAATAGTGGTTTAAATGTTGATGGAAATATTTATCAGTTTGAAGTAGGCCATGTAGTTTGCGATTCTCCAGCAAAAAGTTTTTTACTAAATGTTAAAGCTTTTAATGCATACTTTGGATGCACTTCGTGCACTCAAGAAGGATCTTATATCAATAATAGAATGGCATTTTTAAAAATAGAATCACCTTTGAGAACAGATATATCATTTAGATCTAAAACTCAAGAAGAGTATCATAAAGGTAGTAGCCCTCTTGAATTATTACCAATCGATATGATAAATGATGTTTGTTTGGATTATATGCATAATGTTTGTTTGGGTGTTACAAAACGATTAATAGAGTTTTGGGTAAAAGGAAAGAAGGACGTAAGATTAATCGAGGAAAATAAATTTAGGATAACTAATAATTTGTTAAATCTACGACAGTATGTACCATCCGAATTCAGTCGTTTACCCAGAGGGTTAGACGACATAGAATATTATAAAGCTACTGAATTGAGAATGTTTGTTATACATTCTGGGTTAGTAGTTTTAAAAGGAAATTTAATTAAACAAATGTATTCACACTTTAAACTCTTTGTATGTGCATTAAGAATTCTAATAACCCCCGACATCTGCCAAATTTTAAATAATTTAGCACAAAGCTTACTGAATGAGTTTGTAGCTCAGTACTCATCTTTGTATGGTGCTCACTTTGTGACTTATAATGTGCATAGTTTATTACATCTTCCAATGTATGTTAAAGTACACGGCTGTCTTGACAATTTCAGTTGCTTTAAATATGAGAATTATCTACAGTATATAAAAAAATCAGTAAAAAGCGCTAAATATCCTCTTCAGGAAGTTACTAACCGAATTATGGAAAAACAAAAATATTTTATCTCGAGTGATATAAAACTTGATCCTATTATTATTGTTAAAGAGATTGTTAACACAACAACTTCTACTTTTTATTGTTTAGCTGACAGATTATTTAAACAAATTTTTATTAAAAAACTGAAAATTACTATAAATATTCATAATAAACGTGACAAATATATAATGTTAAACAATAACGATATTGTAATTGTGAACAATATTATTAAGCCACAAAATGAATTAGGCTTCAATCTAATTGTTCAAAAATTTTTGAATACTTCCTCTCTTTTTACCGAGCCAATTGTGTCTTCCACTATTGGCTTATATACTGTAAACCCTATTATTTTATCTGACAACTTCAAAATTAATATTTCTGACATAAAATATAAATGTTTTTTTATTTATTTATCAAACGATAAAGCTATAATTACAACATTAAATCATTCTTTTATTGATAAGTCTTATTAATATATTAACACTTAGGTAACAAAATGTATATGCATTGCATTTTAAATTTGTAGTAAATTATTCTGTATTTGTAATTTGTATTTATTATAATCTCAAATATCTAGCAATAAGTTGTTTATTTATATTTGCATAATTGCATACCTAATAAAAATACAAATATTTATAAACTGTATAACTGTGTATTTTGTTAATTTATTATATTTCCTTTCAAAAACACTGCAGTGGGATGTATCTAATGATTTAATTAAACATTGTATTGAATTTATGTTGTCTATCCATGTATTATGAAGTTATTTCAACATTTATACGCCAATGAAAAATATTTACATTTTCTGAGACTTGTTATTATTTGCCTAGCATAATCGGTACTTGACAAAACATACTACCCTAAATCAACTCATATTATAATTGTATAAATTTCATTTGAAATGGAAACTATATGATGGCTTAAAAAAATATATGTGAGGATCAAAGGAAACATAGTTTCGTTGGTTTAAGGTAACCAAGCCCGGATTAGGACATTTTGAGGCCCAGGGGCCAAAGTTTAAATGAGGCCCCTGTACGAAAAAAAAAATAATGTATATTAATATATAGGTACCTGTTATAATAAATATATATAGGTATTAGGTACATAGCAATAAATCAAGAATTAAGTATCATTTTATTTATAAATTATAATTTACAAGCTTTTTTCCTCGCTAAATAATCATCGATTTTTTTAAAGTGATTTATGAGTTGTTATAGCCTATAATGGACAAATCTGAGGCCCCTAAATAAATGGAGGCCCGGGGGCCATGCCCCCCCTGGACCCCCCTCCCCCTTAATCCGGGCTTAAAAGGTAACGTTCTGGTAATGTTTTGAAGCAACATAAATGATATGATTCAAGGGAACATATATACAACATTTAATGAAAACATACACACGATGGTTAAATGTAACGTGCTGGTAATATTTCGAAGCAACGTATATGGTATGATTTAAGGAAACATAAAGATAACGTATTTTGAGTGTGAAATTAGTACGGTCATTAGCAAGCACAGCGATGTTGCCGTAACGCCCAAGCAACACGTATGGTGATGTTACATGTCCTCGTGAGATGTTCTTGGAACATCAATGAAATGTAAAATTGCACAGTGGGTCGTGTGTTATGACATATTGTCTAATCTTCGGCGGGACTAACGCAAACGACAATTTTCCAAAACTCTAGAAGCCCACAATACAATATTAACCCGAGTCAGCGTTTTGACCATTTCTTAGTCTAACACCCAACACCGAGCTGTTTTTATAACATATAACCATCGCAGGCACTCGTTACGAGAACGATATAAACTATTTATCCGATATAATATTTCGATGAGTTGTCGATTTCTTCTCGAGCTTGTTGTCAAAGACAAATAAGATTAGATTAGATTTGCATATCTATAACATGAAAACAGGTATAAAGGTTTACTGTTTTACCTATATAGAGGTATTCCATTGTAAAAAGTTGTATTATCTCGCACTATAGCAAAACCTATTTTGTACAACTGTCATCCGGCAGTGTGATTAACATTTTCGGGTAGATATATGACGTAATATTCATACGGTTGCGACAAAATAATAAAATTGTATTGTGCAATTAACAATTACAAGGCGATAATAATCTCGTAGTAATTACTGCTAATATTGTATAGTGTGTATATAATCATATGTTATTATTATACCGTTTATCGGGTCATCTCACAAAATAGTGTTGTACAGGTCAGTCCTGTGGTGGACGGCGTCGTAATTCAGATAAATGGTTAAGTTTTACCTTCTGTTTTTGAAATTTGTGTAGTTTTTTCTCGTGAAGTACGGTTTTTTTTTCAAAATCACAAACAGTTGTTACGACGAAAAAAAAATTGGTGTGTACAAATAATTTTGCATTTTAAATTCTATATATAAATTAAAAATATACCCACTCAATATTTATTTCAGAGTTTGTTTTAACATATTATTAAATGCCGTCAGAGGTATCATACTTTCGTAATGAAAATTTAAGTGAACATAATCTTTTGATGATATTATATCATTAAGCATACACTATGTATTCAGAATTGTACGCGATAAACATGGGTAATGATTTTAGTAGCCATTTAATTAAAAATAACATATTACAAACGTGTAGTAGTGTCCAATGGCCTTATTTTTTTTAGGTACACGTCTTATTAATGGCAAATATAGTTTGAAAAAATTTTGGGCTCGTTTTTAAAAATAACAATTTGAACAGCGTTAATTTTTATTTGGCTCGAATTATAAAAATGTTCCTATCCCGTTTGAGTAGTGTAATATATAGAACTGACGAAAGAAAACCGATTACGCAACTGTAAACAATGACGAAGATGGTTTAATACAATAGTAAATTGGCATAATTTCACTGTGACAATATTATGGACGATAATCATAACCATGAAATTACAAAATATCTTAGGTATTGACTCGTGTGCGTATGATATAAAAGTTATCCAAATTGAGTCTAAGCCAAAGACAGACATTTGATTACAAGTAGTACCTATAAGTCAGGGGTATTCAATATTTTGAGGCAGTCGGCCACTTATTATTTATTTTTGAATCTCGAGGGCCGAATATGTATTAAACAGTTAAATTAATAAACGTTAAAAAAATGATATAACTTATCATTAATATTAATACAACATATAAAATATGAAAGTTATGCTTATAATCTATACAAGTTTTTTTTTTTTTTTGTGGGTGAGTGGCTAGCTGTGTGTGATTAGCACTTCGAATTTTGAAATAATTCCGCTCATAATTTATGCCATTTATGAATAATTAATTCATATTTTATAAAAGGAAATTTGTTAGTAGCTTAGGTATAGTGATATTTTCCATTTTAAGTATGTTGGGAATCATTATTTATTACACCCCATACACTCAATAAATATTCTTTTAAAACTTTTATATTATTATAATGATTCATAATAAATATTCCATAGTTTACTTTATGACTAATATACAATTAATCAAAAATATAAATTCTAAATATTTCGAGAAAAAAAATATCATTATAACGACGTTAACATTTATTATTATTTTAATGATTTATAAATGAAAAAATCAATTTTGAAAAACTCACTGTTCATACACATCGATAAAAGTGTATGGATAATATTATATTCTGTACATATAAATCAAGTGACGTAAATATTGTGTTGGAATGCGAAATACCGAAACTATTATATTATTATCATCGAATTTATTGATGAAAACTAAACAAATTATTATAAATGAATGTTATCAGTTCCAAAACATATAACAATACAAATATGAATATTCAACTGTGTAGAAACGCTGAACTGATAATAGCATTACGAAATATCTTATAGGGTTTAATGAACACCGACACACTAATTGAGGGTTAATAAATTAATATGTATTGCCACGATTGCATACCTGTGTGATTACCGAAGGGGATGTGGGGATCAAATTTTCTCATTGTGTAATCCGGTATAATAAGACCTACATACTGAAAAATAGTGGGGAGAGCTCTTCAGCTCTTCCAGTTTATTCATCGAAATACTATTCTCCTGCAGTTGTGCACGTCTTAATATTATATTTGGTGTGAGTGTGCCAACCGGTCACACATTGACATATCCAATCTTTGGTAGCCGTAATGCTTGTACCACTGCGGTAATTACCAAATTTACATAAATGGGTATTTATCACGATTTTCAACGCAAGTGCAGCTGATGATGTCGAGTGCCAGACAAGACTAAAATAATATTGTACTATCGATAGCCTTTAATTGTTTATTTTTCATCCCGAACGATAAAATTTTTTTTTAAACTAATTATAGAATAGTAAATAACTAATAATAATATCATTATAATATTAAAATTGAATAAAAGTAAGCTAGGTATTTACCCTGTGGCCTGTATTTATGCAATTTTCGACGATTTACGATGTTTTAGATATTGAAATATTATTTTTTTTTTATTTATTTTTTTTTTGATAGGCAGTATTTCATATGGCATATTAGAATTCATAAGTTGATTTTTTAATTTTTCTTTAATTTTACCGAATTTCTCATTAGTTTTGGATTTACAGTTGTATTTAAGCCTACACAGGCGCACTATAGTTGTCATTATATGATTATGTTCAATTATTCAAATTTGATTCATATAATAAACGCAAGTAAATAATAGGTATTTAAATAATTATACAGTCCGTACACCATTATAATATTGCTGATTTTAATCGAAATTTGAACGTAATAAAAAAGTGTTATTTTTACTCAGAATCATTTATTTATTTATTATTTCTATATTATTATGTAATTTGTGTTATTACTATATAATTACCTACTATAGACAGTAACTCATTACCACTTTTACTATTATCGTGGTAACACTAAAATAAGTTATCTAAATACATATTTTGCTACTTATCTATGACAAAGCTTATCTCAGATAAGATATTATGTTACATTTAGGTTAGAATTTTGTGTGTGATTTATTACAACTATAAAAATTATCATTATACAATATTTGAATTCGAATCATTTAAAACAATATGATCATAGATACTTTGATATCAAAATATTTTATACGATTCATATCTTTGTACATTAAACAAAAATAATTGAATTTATCTTTATCATATCATTACTGTTTTGGATTAATGTTAAACTCGTTTATTTCTATCTGTATATCTATATATATAAAAAAAAAACTGTTGTTGTATTTTCTTAACAATTCGTCCTAAAGATGTAGTATATTATAATATTAATTTTAATCAGGATAACCGTTCTAATACGGTCAGAGAAATTAAACCGGCAATGATGACATTAAATTATTCCTATTAAACATATTAATATAATCTCGTTGTCGGGTGGGGGCGATCAAAACGTTTTCTGGATACAAAACTTTACGATGATGTCGATGGGTAGATACGCCCGTAAAGTCAATGATTCGTTCAATACAGTGACGAAGTCTTCGGTGATAAAGGAACATATTATTTTCCTTCCCGAGACGTTTTCCAATATTAAGCTTTCAATTATTGTAATACAATAAATTCTAATGCACATAACGTAGACCGAAACTATCGTAACGGAATGAACAAATCGTTTTCGACGATAACGCCAAATTAATATTACGTTGATACCAAGGTTATCTATATGACATTTTCTTATCAAATATGGGCATTGAACGGTGGAAAAGTTATTTTTTCTAACTTAACTACCTACCTATAGATACATTGTAATGACTTCAATTTTCCAATTGATATGAAAAATAATCATTTAGAATAAAATCATGTTCACATAATATGTACTCAGGTATCCCTATAATAATAGTAATTTTTATTTTTAATTAATATGAATATTTTTTTTATGTATTTTTTTTTTTAATAACACTGTATACCTAACGCATTATATTATAATACAAATAACCTAATGATTATTTTCGTGTGATTAACTAAATCTAAATTTAAACAGTTAATGTCTAAATAAGAAGAAATAGGTATAACAATGCAGTTTTATCAAAATGTTTAGTTATTGTTTAAAATATTTGAATGTTACATAGTAATCACTAAAATATAATGTTGGAGTATGACCCGATTGTTAAAAATAAAAAAAAAACTTACGATCTCCTTTTTGACTGATTACAGTTAAAGATTTTCCTTATATTAAATTTACTTTTTTACACTTAAATAATATGTATTGCTTGTCATATTATAATTTGACGTTTATTTAATATAATCAGTTCAAGAAAACTAGTGTTTATTTACAACTGACCTCTGAAAACTACAATGATGCCCACACCTATTAGAACCATGATGCTCCCCATTTAACCATTAAATACTTGATAAAATACGTTATATAACATTTTCAACACACATATTATGATACTTAACAATACTATTAGTAAAAGAACTGGCGTGTGTACTTACGTTGGGAGCTCGATCTCCGGATGATGTTTTCCAAGAACGTGTTTTGAGGGGCGACCAGACCTCGTCGGCCCCCTGGCATAATGGGTGCACCTTTGTTACCCAGAAGTAGGCTGTTAGCTATGTTTGCTCGAGTGTGTCGTTTCGGCCATATTGGCGGACAAAATGAAACTCGCGCACGACGACGCGGACGATTATATTACGACAACGACCGTGGTCACGGTATGACCGCCGTGTACCGGACGAGTACTATTATATTCGCGTCGCGGTCTCGAACGAAAACATATTATCACATCGATCGTATATTATATTTATATTTATCTATACAAAATCGCGTATCAACGATACGATAGCATGAGCAATTCGGAATTAACGAATCGGAGTGTGGACGAGGGGCGAGAGGCGCGATGACGTGCGATTCTTATCATACAACAGTATTATGTATGTATCGTACAGCTGCAGCTATACAATGTAGTGATGGCGTATATGGTATCCTGTGTGGGCGCGTGGCATATGGGTGTGTGTCAGTGAGTTTGTGTGTGTGGGTGGGTTGGGTATGTGTATGGGTTTGTGTATGTGTACGGTTCGAGGTAAGTGTGTGTGTGGCGAGTGATCGTGTGTGTCCCCCCGGGACCGCAGTTCAGTTATCGTCGTCAGCCGCAATCCAAGTGTTCGCGTTTGTGTTTCTTCATAATCGACGCCGGTCGTCAGTGCGGTCGGTGGCGGTGGTAGTGATGGCGACTGCTGCTGCGGTATCGGTGGATCGCGCGTACATCGAAGAGCCCTCCACCCCCCCGTCGAGTGGTCGACGTGAACTAGGACGGCGACGACTCCCTGTGCTTTTGGACGAGGTGTTTCCCGAGCCGGTCGCGGTCGACGATCAAGCCGAAGACGGCTGTCGATGGCGACGGTGGAGACGACAATTGCAACGGTGATGACGGTTTCATCTGTGCCCAGCTCCCTGGTCCGGTCGGATCGTCGTCAGATGACGGCACTGGCGAGCGGCGTTGGCAGCTCCGACAGTGGAGGTAGGTCGGCTCCCACGACGGAGTTGACGACGGACGGTGTCGTCTAGTTCCTCGAGAGGTCCACAGCTGCTATCGTCGACGGTCGCAGCAACAACGGCGGCGATGGCGGACAGCATGGACTCGGGGGTGGTCAGGAGCCTTATTCAGGCGAGAGCGCACTCACGAGTTCCTAGAAAAAAAAGAAAATTCCATCTCATTAGCCTTTGACGATTATAAAATAAATGATACAGAAGATACGCGTGGATAGACCGACAATGTGTATAAAGTTTGATCAACGATATAGGACGTGTTGGGAGAGACCGCCTCGGTGAACTAAATAATTGGTATTGATTTTTAGGAGAAAAAGACTACGTCCGTACACAATTTTAACACTCTACGAGTATCGTATAATGCATAGAAGTACTTGAAAGGCAAACTAGTCAAACCTTATGACATGCTTAAGGTAAGTTTTTACATTTCACAAACGTCACTTCAACCATGACTGTATACTTCAAGTTTGAACAAACATACAATTTGAAATGTATGTTTACGTTTGGTCTCTAAAGTAATAATGACTTAAAATTAATACGAAAAAACATAACAGTCGTGATAATATTATAACACAAAATTATTATAAGACTATTTTGCATATTGTTATTATTAAAATAACATTGACGATTTGTGGATGACCTTTTTTTGCCGCAAAATCAAACAAATTATGCGTATAATATTATTTCCAATTTGGACCGTCGATGAATAAAGGCTGGTCTTCACTTTATCATACATATTATTATATAATATATATATATATAATATTTATATGTATGTATGTGGTTTACACACATAGCCTTTATACGGTTTTCTGGACTCAAACAACACCCTTTTAATTTGTTTTTTTTAATTTCAGTGCGGTGTACGTGTTTTCTCGCCGGTCGTAAAAATTAAAGGGGGTTGCACCCACCCCTCCCCTTTTAAATAACGCCGGACTCTTTACGCCCTGTGAATACAACATACAAGGTTTACATATGTGTGTTGTACACGCACAAGCTCCTATCGAATAAAATATGTACAACATTAAATGCAGCGGTAGAGCTACAAATTTAAAATTGGGAGGCGACAAAATCGACTGCGTTTGGCAAGCGTTAAAAAAAAAACTATTTATCATACTAATTTTCAAAATATTCGAAAAGAATTCATACATGGTTCCTATTTAAATAATTATTTAACTAAATCAATCAATTTGTTTATCTTATATTTTCACCCGTCTCTTATTTTGTTTGACAATCCTGATTATGACATAGTTTGAATATTTGTTTATGTATGTTTGTGTATTTTAGTACAGATAAACGTGAGTAATAATAATTGTAATAATATAATATATCTGCAGGTAGTTCAATATGACGCAAGAAATAAATAAATAGTACTTTTATCGTATAAAATCACCAAAATCCCAAATAGGTAAATTGAATTTCCAGACAGAAGTTAAATTGTTTGAATAAAATAATTCTGGTTAATGGAACGATAATTAAATTAAATTTTTAATTCCCTATTTTAGTAAGTGTTTATGCAATATAATGCATCATCAATAGCAATAACTATATTATTATATTTATTATTGAACTGTTTATGAATTAACGTTACTATTGGATTTGCAGTGTAAAAGTAACTCGTTATTTATTGAGTTGATATCGATAAAATACAGTTAAGTTAATAATTGAGTTATAACGAAAAGTAAATTTAAAAAAGTTAAAATAAACTTACTCGAATTTTTAACTGGTTTATGCCCAGGCTTGGACTTAAGTATATCGCGGTGGACTCGTGTAGTATAATAGCTCTATTATAACGCTTTTACCTCGAGTGAGAGCGGCTTGAATCTAATAACCGTCCGGGTGTATCGTTATTGTTATTAACAGTACCATAGTTTTGTGTTCTACACCACATAACTACGGATGGTCTTTTTGGGGTCAACTACAAAACACCGGTCGTCCGAGCGTGTTAGTGAATTCATCATATTGTGTGTGTGTGTGTGTGTGAGCCCTTTACGTTTTGGGCTGCTAAATCAAAATATGGAATAGTAGACTTGACGCATAATAATATTAATAATAATAATAATAATAATGATATGTATTTTCCACCGGGCCCGCTTTGTGGTGGTGCAGTTCGCGGGGCACTTGTAAGTGGGGTGAGCGACAAGTGCGGACGAGTGTGATGTGCTTAACGCTGATAAAAGGTACCTATATATAAATGCGCACGTACATAATATTATATCGTTACACTGTGCGTGAGACCGATTCGTGGGGAGAAAAACATAATATTATAAGTATGTGTGATATTAATAATAATATTATGCGTACACCGAGTCTCCGCGTTCTACTGTTAGAGAAGGAAAACGTCATCAAACAGCTATTATACGATAACGCGGGTGGATGAACGACTGTTGAACTTTAGGCTCGTAATTATTATTATTATTTCGATCATGAAAACCGACCTGCAGCTGCAAGTTTGAAGCCATCACTTCCGCCCCTTCCGAAAAAAATTCTACAGAAATCGTTAGGGTGTTTTTTTTTAAATTCTACATATTTTTACCGCTCTTGAAGAGTGTCCAATAGTTAGGTAATTATTTGACTTCACTGGAGATATAACGTAAAAAAAAAAAACATTTCACTACCTAACTGCAAAGTGATCGGTTTTGGACGTTGTAAGTTTGTTGTTAGCATCCTACATAGTACCTAACAAATATCATATAAATATGTAAAATTGTGTCACTTCAGAGGGAAAATAGAAACGTCACACGCGGGAAACGTTGCGAGTCGTGAAAATGTCGGTTAACCTTTAGCAATAAATTATACTAGCGTCGTTTTAATTAAATCACATTTTACAGTTAAACGATTTTATACCCATACTTATTTAATTGACGGTTACACGGTTTATGAACACTCTTTCTCTTTTAACATTTTACTCAACAACTACAACCGATAGTAATTCAATAAACCTTTTGAAAAATATCACTCAACGATAAAACTGTGATGTAAAAATGCGTAGTATAAAATAAATAACAAAAGGCTTCGATTCCTCAATAATTTTAAATTAGATTTTCGTTTTAAGCGGCTACAGGCACGTCTTGGCAATTATAGGCGTCTGCGCATGACATAAAGTGACATACTATGAGTTTAAATTGATAACAATCGTATAGATATTATACATTTTTATCGTTTTTTTTTGTTTTTTTTTATAACATTATTCCTCTTTTCGCCCGAATTTTCATCTCGTCCGAGATACGTTTTGTATAGCTCCGCGTCACGTCCTCTGGTCGCGGACACGCAATTTCCCACATTTAGTTTTGTGGGGCCATGACGGCCACGACAACTACAACTGTGATGATGATAATAATAATTATGTTTTACGCGTCGCCGTCGTGTGATACGTGTCACCGGCGTCGGTCGCCGCCAGAGGTTTTGTCGTGTTTTGACAGCCAGTAGACTACGAGAGACGTTTCGTAATTTCGCGGACCGAAACACACACACGTGAGTATAATATTTCAGTATATAGGTATACAATATGTGGTTAATCCTGGCGACCGGAACGACCAGGAGTGCGGACATAATTTTCACGAGTCGACCGTGAAAACGAACCGCTTGCAACCTATAAGGACGATGTGCAACACATAATATTATAATATTATATTTTATGACGTACCATCGTTACTCATCGTGTGTGGGCGTAGGTCGTGAACATGTCAGAATTTCATAATTATATATGTTCGAAAGTCAAGTCATGTCCGAAAAACTTTTTTTTTTTTCAAAAACCTTTCATAAACCGTGGAATATCGCTAAATACGATATTATTATTGTTTTCTCCCTTAAATGTATTGACATTAGAAATTTGTAGTCAACGTTATACTTGAAATTTTTAATGGTTCGTCTCAATTTTTTTTCAACAATCAGCTATTCACCTTGTAGAACCGCAGGTCTTTTTTCCACTTTTTGAGGATGTATACCATACATATTGTATAGTGTATACTTTCGTTAATCTCTCTCATGATTTTTACTTATCCTATAAACTCTTGTTTTCTTCCCAATATTATTTCCTCCATTACCTAAATAATCCAGTTTTTATCTTATTCACTTTAATACATTAATGCATTATTCTTGTATTTTCTAGTAGTTTTAGTAATTTCAATGCCATTATATTATATTTAATAAATTAAAACTTATTATTATCTTCCAAAAACTTAAATCCATTAAGATAACATTGTGATAACTGATTGCGTGGTAAAAAAAAATTATAATAATTTACCTTTTAGTATATTTAAGTTCCAACGAAGTACCTACACGCATAGTACATAATAAATTGAACTAATAACTGTTATGATTTTTTCTCGTTATGATTTTTTGAATACCACAATATAATTTTCAAACCGCTTCACGGTGATGACTGATGACACTGAAAATTTCGTTCTCATGCCAAATCACGTTTAATAATATAGAATAATACAAGTTTGGGGATTTAGCTAGGGATCTAAATAATATTATAATCGGGATTTCTAAAATCTGGTTTCAAAATGATAATATCTTATTATCTTAAGAATTGAAAAATGTATTACTTTCACAACTACACAGCTATACATATATGACGGTATATCCGCAGAATGTCAATATTTTAATATAATATCATTATAATCGAATGTTGTCCAAATTTATATAGTCATGTATGACGGTACACTACAGCGATTTATCGATAATTTAATAAATGTACTGGCTTGAAATACTTAATTGAAAAATCCACCCATTTGCAGCACTTCAATTTTTTTTATGATGGATTGTATAGTTATTATTAAAAATATTATATTGGAGATCAGTTCACCATTTCTGTAGGACAGAAATTCCTGAATGCGTTGCGATGAATACATTATTTATGAATGGTATGTGTTGGCTAATGAAGTCGGCAAGCAATCTCCCGTAAACAGCTTTTAGTTTTTCATTAATTGTTTTTATATTATGATATTCGTTATACTAGGTAGGTATAATTTAAAATAAAAAGAGGACCAATTATTGTGAGTTTGTGCAATTGGACGATTGCATTTTGTAATTATCGTAATTTTTAACAGCACATTAACACCCCAAAGTTGTAGCTTTGT